ATGCAATTAATTGACTATAATTACACGTGCATTCTGTCGCTGTTTGAATAGAACCTGTGTAACAGGAACTGAGTGGCTCAATAATTTATGAGCTCATTAGTAGTTTCTTTTTCCTTTATACATTCACAGGATGAGGGTATTGCTGGCTAGGCATTTATTGTCCATCCCTAATTGCCCAGAGGGCAGTCAAGAGTCAACCACATTGCTGTGGGTCTGGAGTCACATGTAGGCCAGACCAGGTAAGGATGGCAGTTTCCTTCCCTAAAGGACATTAATGAACCAGATGGGTATTTTCCTGACAATCGGCAATGGATTCACAGTCATCATTAGATTCTTAATTCCCAGATATTTATTGAATTCAAATTCCACCATCTGCCATGGTGGGATTTGAACCCAGGTCCCCAGAACGTTATCTGGGTCTCTGGATTAACAGTCTAGTGATAATACCGCTAGGCCATTGCCTCCTCCACTGGTAAATAAAAAGAGAAAATGCAGAAAATACTTAGCAGGTCAGGCAGCATTTACGGAGAAAAAAAGTAGAGTTAACGTTTCAGGTTGATGACCTTTCATCAGAGTAGAACATCAGAAAGCTCCACTCCAAGCCAAACACCAACCTGACTTGTAACTATATTGCCATTCCTTTATTGCCAAAATCCTGGAACTCCCTTCCTAAGAACACTATGGGTGTACCTAACACACATGGATGGCAGCAGCTCAAGAAAGCAGCTTACAACTACGCTCTCAAGGGAAATTAGGGATGAGCAATAAATACTGATCTAGTCAGTAACACCCAGATCCAGTGAACGAATATTCAAAAAGTATTATGCGGAACCAGCATCCATATGTAAGAAAAAGACCAAGGCTGGTATTAGCAGGTGGCTTTGTGATACGTTCATAGAATCCCTACAGTGTGGAAGCAAGCCATTTGGCCCACTGAGTCCACACTGACTTTCCAAACAGCATCCCACTCAGACCCACCCCTTCCTTGTAACCCTGCATTTTCCATTCAGCCAACCTGCACACCCTGGGCAATTTAGCGTTCCCAATCTACCTAACTTACACATCTTTGGACTGTGGGAGGAAACTGGAGCACCCAGAGGAAATCCACACAGACAAACAGTCGCCCAAAGTTGGAATTGAACCCTGGTCCCTGGAACTGAGAGGCAGCAGTGCTAACTACTGAGCCACAGTGGACAGTAGGTTAAGATAGTGGAGTTTCCCAGTTCCAGAATAAATAAATAACTGTTTCTTTTTTAAACAGCAACTGATCGACTTTCCGATGAACATGTAGGGTTAAAATCAATGTCTTGATTGAGAGCAGGCAGCCTGAAGACTGGCTACCAGTAATCCTTTGGCAATATTCCTCTAAATATGAGCCATCCAAGGAAATAAGCCCACATCTAGGAGAATTTGTTCTTTTATAGTTTGAATCAATATGTTCCCTTGATAAGTGCACTGATTAGCAGCAGAGCTGCAGTAATGACTATTGGCTTGTGTGTCACTGTTGGTTTTGTAGAGCTGTTAAGTGCTGGCTTTGGAAGAAGTACTGAGCTGTAACCCTATCCCTTCCTGAAACAGATCTGTTTTGATTTTCGAGCACACAGATTGTTTCTTTCATTTAAAGAAATGCTTGCAGAAAGAGCTAGTATCAAAGCATTTTGTTGTTTTAATTGAAAAGGGTTATGTTGCCAATTTCTTGTTTGCTTCAACCCAAAGCTCCTCTTTGGATGGCATTTTTGAAATCAATTGACCATCAGGATGAAAGGAATGGTTCCAGAAACACATAAATTAGACAGACCTGCATTTCTATAGCGCCTTTCATGCGTTCAAGACATCACCAAGTGCTTTACAGCCAGTTTTAAGGTATAGCAACTGTTGTAATGTAGCAAACTGAGCAGACAACCTGTACACAGCAAGATCACAGCATGAGAGAATAACCATATGATCTGTTTTGAGTGATGTTGGTTGAGGGATAAATATGGACCATGATATCAGGAAGAACTCTCCTCCCTACGTCAATTTTATGGCTGTGGGATATTTTACACCCACCTACCTTCAACAATTCACCTCCGTGATTGTCATCTGTCAAAAGTACAGCATTCTGTCAGTATTGCAATGGAATAGACAGAGCGGGTTTGCTGTTCAAGCCATTAGAATGGGACATGAACCCAAATCCTTCTGATTCAGGCAGTGCTTTCCAGTGAAGTGCAACCAACATGGGATTTGTTTCAATTGGGAAAGGCCATGATGTGGACGTGACAGTGTTGGAATGGGGTGGAGGAGGCCAGAAATCGCACAACACCAGGTTATAGTCTAACAGGTTTATTTGAAAACACAAGCTTTCGGAGCCTCAGTCCTTCTTTGGGTGTTGGTGAGAATTGGGAAGGCACTGGGCTTGATTTTACCACCCAGGGATATGAGTCCAGAGGAGATGTGCTGATGGTAGCCAGGTGGGGGTGGGTGGAGACACAGCAAAATGAGAATCTGTCTGATCTCAAAATAGGGAAACTGAGACCAGAGAGTCAGACTCCAGCTCTGATTAGCACTCTAAGTCTTCCACACTAATTTGCAATTTTAGCTGCACACTTCTTTTTATCTAGAAAGTAATATGTTATTAACAGATGCTTTCTGTTGGTCATGTAGGACTAAATCTGATGTTGAAACTCCAATCCGTGCCTTTGTAACATTCAGACTCAAATCACTTCTGGCTGCCTTCCCAACTTGCCTCCCTCCACAAATATAAGCTCATTTAAAACTCTGCTGCCCATATTCTAAGTCACACCAAGTTGTCTTCAATTCTGCACCAGCTGTGCATTGAGTCCTTCAATTTTAAAATTCTCATCCTGCTTTTGCGGAGCAGGCTCGATGGGCTGAATGTCCTAATTCTGCTCCTATATCGTATGGTCTTGTGTTCAGGCAGGGAGAGGGAATCAAATTTACAAAGAAGTACAAAAATTCTCAGAACAACATTGATATTCACCTATTCTCTGGCTCAGCTAGCTCAGCCATGTCACCTGACTTTGGTCATCACGGTCTGGGCCATCAGATCATGTTGTGGGCTCCTGCTTGACATAGAAGAGACAGTGACCCAAGATGAACTGGCACCAAAAGGTCTCCAGCTGGACCACAGACACAAGAAACACAGAATACTTTCTTTGCCATTAGTGTCCCTGGATGCAGGAGTTATGAAGTCTAAGTAAGTCTTGTGTTGGTTCCATTAGTTTTCAGGAAGTTTGGGAAACCCATGCCAAGTATATGATATTACATTGTAAACAATGTGTCAATATTGCTGCGATATCAGTCTAATAAAATCCTAAACTTGTCTTTCCTAAGGAACTAAGCTACCAATTTGCTCTTGCTCATTCCTGCTATTATCCAAATCAAATTTAGCACCTCTTATTAGGACAAGAGGTGATACAGTTACCGATTTTAGGATCCAATGGAACTAGTGATAACATGGAGCATGACAAACTGTCTTACATATTCCAGAATGATGTTATGGACCAGACCAAACCCCCTCAAAATATATTAAGAAGATAGCCCAGATCCTAACTGTTTCATATTTTAAAGGCAAGTACCAGGCATTGCATTCTGGATGCAGTTTGATTGGTCAAGCTACCAGATTTGAAGCAGAACACACTTTATTCATACACTATATTTAAAATACAAAACAAAAGAAAATGGAATAACTTAACCCTACTGGAAAACTTAACAGAATAATAGATTATTTAACTATGAAACAATAACTGTTTTAATATAGTAACATCCCATAAACAGCCCCTTGACAAATGCAAGTCCAGCAAAATTCTCAGGCAATTCTCCAGTCCAGGAAGAAAACACCAAGAGAAAAGTCTGAGAGAGAGAGAGAGAGAGAGAGGCAGGGAGAGATGTACTGCAGCTTCCAAACCTGGCTTCAAGACCCCAACAACTGCTACTACTGAAAAACCAAAACTAAAAATCCTGGTTCTGTGGGAGCTTTCTCCGCCCATTCATGCTGCTTCTATTGTTCCTACTTTTAAAAAAATTCTCAAGGCCTCACAAGCTGTTTGTTTTATAGGCTTACAATAGACAACTTGGTACCTCTATCTTAAACGTCTCTTCAAAACAAAACAGGGCAAAGTACACCTCTTAAAGCCATACTATCGTCACGGTAGTAAAACCAGAGGACAGGGTCAGTTTGAAGTGAATAAAATCAATCTACTCTGTGAGAAAAATATTTCAGTGATTGAGGGGTCATTCTATAGAACAATTCCCAAGGGAGATTGGAATTGTTTATTCAATGACATCCAAGAGAGATCGATATCATTCAGAAAATAACATGTGACAGTGTCATGAGCAATTTGAAACATGACAAATGTAACAAGCTGGGAAGGGCCTGCTGATTTTGGATCTATACTTTTCAAAGATCTCCATCACTGAGGGTTCGCTTTACCCCAGATCTAGCTGGTTTGTAGACTCACTGACAGAGATTGATTAGTGTGGGTAACTTGTAAAGGAATGAGATAGTGATCTATATGATGATGTACCAGTGACAGCTGCAGTCACGTACTCAACCCTGAGAAGAGAACAAAGGAACAGTCTATTGTCAGAGGCTGTAAGGTACATATCACAATGTAAATAGAACGAAATCTGTGAGAGTCAGAATAGTCACTGTCAGGTAGAGGAAACCTTCCCAATATATACCATACCATAAATTACCTACAGAGACATCCAAATAAGGTCCAAAAGTGGAACCAAACCAAGTCCATTATCATGTGACTACAGGGATGGTAGAAGATGAATGAGATGGACCTTGGACGTTATTGGCAGCCAATTTTGTTGTTCCAGTTGGGGAGAGCCTAGTTCTTCCCTGTGGGAGTTCTGCCAACATCACACAAGAGTTAAGGCAGATGGTTTAAGTGGATTGCACCTCACAAGGTCCCAGGAAATTCACGGTCACCTCTGTTTTGCCACATGCTGGAAAACCAAACAACTACACCATTGTTCTCCATACAACATACCCATCAGGTCGGAGGTCAGGGATGGACCTGTCCAATGGCAGTCGGTCACTGAGGTAGCTATTGTAGCCATAGTATTGGAACTTCTTCAAAGCGACCCTCCGATTTTCAGGAGAAAGGTTGTGGCCCCAGTGAGTGAAGAGTAAGGAATCAGTAAAGGCATCAGCAGCTATATTCTCCTCTAGCTTCTGTGGAACCTCTGGAAAGAAAGGGGAAAAAATTTACATTGATATAACGCTTTTCATGTCCTTGGGACATCCCAAAGTGTTTGCAGCTTTGAAGTGTGGTCACTGATGCACAGTGGGCACGTCTGATGGGTAAAATGAGGTTGTACATTAGAAATTCTAATGGCATAAAGAGATGCTTAAGCAGATAAACAAGTTATTTCACAACAATGTGAGCATTGTTTATTCTTAAGCTGTATTTATGGGTAATGCCACCAATAGGTGGAGCATTGCAGTCCCCGAGTGATGAGAGATGCTCGTGAATGAAGTGGCTAAATGACTGTGACTGAGACTGAAAATCATTGGAAGCAGGGAACAAGTAACCAGTCAGCAGCAATTTCTCACATTAAATTTTAAACTAGTTATAAAATCCACTAAAGCAGAGCAACAATTTATAAGCAGTCTGCAAATTTCCCTGTAAATTATTCTTCTGGTGACTGATAAGAAGCTTTGTCTCTGGGCAGTTGCAGTATGCTGTTACCTGACCATTAATCAGCCTTCTTTTCACTGAAACTAGGGTCTCTCATGCCAAAGAAATGTATAGACTATAAATGTGATTTGTATAATTGCTGCTGTGATTCCCTGGACCTGACAACTCATTTAAAATTTAATGTCGTAGTGGCATGATGTCACAGGTGCAAATGGAGTATAGTCTCTGTTTTTGTTGTTGGGAACATACGCTCCATTATTCTCAGCACACCAGGGTTAAAAAGCATTTCTCCAGTGAAACTTCACCAACCAGACAGGCAGCATGGAAATGTAAACACTAGGATTTAAGAGTTAAAGACTTTGGACCCAAATTCCCACAATGTGGCTCTGAAAGCTGCAGATCCAGCCCGTATGGGAAGTATAGATATTTGTTGAATTGTCCTTTTGTAAATATCACATTTAAACCCTTCGCTGCATCACCTCCCTGAGATTATATGAGTGTGGGGTCTGAGAGTTATTGAAGAAGCATCAAGCCAAAATGTTCCAGTCACATAGGCAGGACTCTGGTTCAAAGGATGAGCTGGCCTACTCCTGACCATCAATTTGATGTGCTTGACTAAAACTTGCATTTCACTAGCACTTTTCACAGCCCTCCTTAAAACTCTCTGCATCTCTACCTTGGTCTCCTTCTTTAAGATGATCTTTAGAAACTACTTCTTGATCACATTTGATACCTGATGTTCCTGTGAAGTGCCTTCGGTTGTCTATTATGTTGAGGTCAATATATTGAGGAATATCATTTCTTTCCAATCTGAATAAAGCACTATCACATCAAAGTCAGTTGATCAAAGGATGGTGGAAGGAAAGGTTTCAGCGTGGAACTGGGAGTTGAGCATGAGAAATGTGGGGGCGATTGGAGTGATTCAGGAGGAGAAGAGCAGCGTTTGTTAGCAATGCTGCCTCACAGTGCCAGAGACTCTGGTTTGATTCCACCCTCGGGCGACTGTCTGTGTGGACTTTGCACATTCTCTCTGTGTCTGCGTGGGTTTCCTCCGGGAGCTCCAGTTTCCTCCCACAGTCCAAAGATACGCAGGATTGGTGGATTAGCCATGCTAAATTGCCCATAGTGCCCAGGGATGTGTAAATTGGATGGATTAGTCACGGGAAATGCAGGGTGACAGGGAATAAAGTTGGGGGGAATGGGTCTGAATGAGATGCTCTTCGGAAGGTCAGGTGCAGACTCAATGGGCCAAATGGCCTGCTTCTGCAGTGTAGGGATTCTACGAGGATTCTGAGATTGCAGTTAGTCAGGGGATGATTGGGATGAGTTGGGGGAGTGAGACAGCAGGAGACTGAGAACGGGACTGTTGATGTAACTAAAGAAAAGGTGCCTTCTTTCCCTACTATAATGACCAGCAATTGCTCAGTCCTAATCCATCAGTTTCCCAAATAAAACATGGCTTCTGAAAAAGCAAAACAAGACCTGGAAGGAAAAGCAACAAAGCTTTAAATTCCGGCCTGGCCTTTCTGAAATTCCAGCCGAGATTCTCAACTGCACCAGAGTAGGAACCTCATGTTGCAGCAGAAATTCAAACTTTTATGAACAAAAAGTCAGGAGACTGAAACTTTCTGATCCAAAGCCTCCCTCAGTCAAGGTGTCTGTTACCAAGACATTTGCAAAGCTTAAAAACTAACAGCTCCTCAAATGTTGGATCAGTTAACAACAGGATATTTCTGACACAAAGGAAGTCTGGGTCAAGGTAATCCACAGCTGAAGGCAGTCTCCTTCAATTAATCGTATCTCTGTTCAATGGGTTCATTGTGTGATCAACCTGATGCAAAGTGAATGAATTTAACATGAGCCGTATTCCCAACACCACACTCAAAGCAAATCCTTTCCAAAATGTCAAGGTAAATACCTGACACGGTCATTATTTTAAATGCTGGGGAATGTAGCATTCTTGTGCATGCATCTTGCAAAGAGGCTGCAGCCATGTAGAAAACAAAATCAAACATAACCTTAACTGAAGGAAAGTAAGGAATGAAATCATAAACTACTTCTCTGACTCTTCTGCATCCTACATCCACTCGAGAGAATTCACAGAAACTTACTGAAAAGGTCAGTAAAGAGTAATGGCACAAGTTAAACAGAAATTTTAAAAAAGGCTAGTTGAGGCTAGGGCAGTATGGTGGCTCAGTGGTTAGCACTATTACCTCACAGCACCAGGGATCTGGGTTTGATTCCAGCCTCAGGTGATTGTCTGTGTGGAGTTTGCACATTTTCCCCATATCTGTGTGGGTGTGCTCTGGTTACCTCCCACTGTCCAAGATGTGCAGTCTAGGTGGATTGGCCATGCTAAATTGCCCATTGTGTTCAGGGATGTGTAGAATAGGTGAGTTATGACAGATGGGTCTGGGTGGGATGCTCTGAGGGTCAGTGTGGACTTGTTGGACCAAAGGGCCTGTTTCCACACTGTAGGGAATCTATGAAGAGATTTACCAACAATCTGACAGTTTCATGGTCACATTTACTAGGACAGATTTTTAAACAATGAAATCCAAATTGTTATTCAAAAGCCTACAGAGGATTTGAACTGTCAGTGTTTTGGTTATTAACACTGGAGTTTGAATGAACACACTGGTGAATAAATCACTTCAGCACTGCACCAGAAACCAACCTCCACTTCCATCTTTGTTCATGCATTGAAAACAATTTGTTTTTATTAGGTGGGTCCTCAAGAAATAGGACTTCAATTACTTCAAATTATCCACAGCCTCAAATGATCTGTCACTTCAAAAAACATTGCATTGACCTAGCACCTTTCACAACCTCAGAAAGTTCCAAAACACATCACTACAAATCAAAAGCTTCTTGAAGTCTAGTGCAAGAAATATCAGTCAGTTTACACATAGCATGTTCTTGCAAATAACAAACTGGTAATGATCAGATTATAAATATTTTAATGATGTTGATTGAGACATAAATATTGCCCAGACCACAGGAGGAAATGCCCTACACTACTCAAAGTTCATTAGAGAGGGCAGACAGAGCCTGGGTTTAAGTTCCTTCCGAAAGACAGAGCCACTCCAACTGTTTACTTCCTCAATACAGCCTCTCCAACAGTATAGCACCCCCTCAGTACTGGACCTCTGACGATGCAGTGCTCCCTCAGCATAGCCCATCTAACAGTGCAGCACGCCCTCAATATTGCCCCTCTGACAGTACAGCAGACCCTCAGTACTGACCCTCTCACAGTGCAGCATTCCCTCAGTACTGACCCTCTCACAGTACAGCAGTCCCTCAGTACTGACCCTCTGACAGTGCAGCGTTCCCTCAGTACTGACCCTTTGACATTGCAGTGCTCTCTCGGTACTGACCCTCTGACAGTGCGGCACTCCCTCAGTACTGACCCTCTGGCAGTACAGCACTCCCTCAGTACTGACCCTCTGACAGTACAGCAGTCTCTCAGTACTGACCCTCTGACAGTACAGCAGTCCCTCAGTACTGACCCTCTGATAGTGCAGCGTTCCCTCAGTACTGACCCTCTGACAGTGCGGCACTCCCTCAGTACTGACCCTCTGACAGTACAGCACTCCCTCAGTACTGACCTCTGACAGTAAAGCAGTCTCTCAGTACTGACCCTCTGACAGTACAGCAGTCCCTCAGTACTGACCCTCTCACAGTACAGCACTCCCTCAGTACTGACCCTTCAACAATGCTATGCTCCCTCAATTCTTTCCCTCTGGCAGAGCAGCTCCCTGGTACTGCATTGGAAGTGTCAACTAGATTGTTGGATAAATATTCATGACAAGAAATGTTGCCCTCAAGTTAAACTGCAAGTTTCTCCTTATGTGTATAGGAGGATGTAAGCTCAGGAGCTGGATTTCTGCGAGGAACATGCATATGTTTGTATCAACAACTCTGCAAATGAGATCATGGATATCTACACTCAATTTAGGATATAATTGGAAGCTGTACCATAATATAAGGCAACATCTGTTTTCCTCTGAAGCCTGCACATAGATGGAACTAACGTATTTCTGTTGCCAGCTGTTCATAGAAATGAGACGTCACAAATGACAGCTGTTATAGGGATTGTAGTGTAATGGGAATGTTACTGGGTGTTGCTATGAACAAGTGAGGAGGGATGAATCAGCTTGCTTCTTTTTAAACTGCTTGGTCAGCCACAACAAAGATTTTTCATTTTTTTAGCATGCAGCTACGTTACATTTCAGAGAGTGTTGTTCCTGGATCAGTGGTTGTCCCAGTGGTGGACAGAGTTGTTCTATTTCTGTTGTTTGGTTGCTGGGGATCTCTGGGTCTGATGGTCGCTGGGTGTTCTGTGCAGGTGGTGTGTTCAGCTCTTCCTGGTCAGTTGCCTGCAGTTGAGGAGCAGCTTCTGCAGTAGGACTTAGTTGTCCTGTAATTCTAACAATGTAGCAATATGTTCACTTCCACTGAGTACTACCAAAGTGACAATTGCCCCTCTCAGGTGCCAAGTTACCACTTGTGCTGGCCTTTGTTGAGGTGGTTGAATGCCCTGAC